CCCCAAAACCCCAAAACCCCAAAACCCCTTGGTAGATAAGAAAGTTTGAAAAGATTGCATAATAATTAACTTTAATGAATCCAGAAATTCAAAAGAAGGCATCTCTTTTATCAAAAGATATATGGAGTGATGACCTGGTATCTTATGATGATAGTGAAGATTGCTCACCTCAGATGCCTAAGGTGACTCATCAGTTTTCAAATACTCTCAAAGATAACAAAGGGAAATCGAATAAAGAAGATTTTATGAACATTTGAGAAATTCCCTGTAAGGGGAGATTGTCCAGAGATGATCCAGTTATTATTAGAAAATCTACAGCTTTTAAGACATGCTCTAAGCCTCATTCTCGTGGAAAGAGAGTGGAGCCGCAGTCATACAACTCTATTTCCCCAAGGAAGAACTCAAAGCCTTTGAAAGAGGTACCCTCGAGTGAGATCCTACAGTTGCTTGTTTCTTGAAGAGAGCCTTAGTTTATCTGCAAGGAAGCTACTATTTAACGTTTCTAATTTATCATAAAATGTTCGGAAAATTTTAAAATAAAATTTTAGAAATATTTATAAAATATTAGTTTAGAAATTTGATTAAAATGGGGCTTGAAAATTTGGCTGAGTTTTTGGAGAAATAAAACTTTTAACCAAGCATTTGAAAGGAAAGATAGAGGGTTTTAAATAGGTTATAAGACCAGTAGGGTTAAAATTGAACACCCAGGATTTTGGATAGGTATTAAAGCTGATGTTTAAGTTGAATTTTGGTTTGGAGAAATTTTATGGAAAAAGAAGTGTCTTTGATAATAGAATGTTATATTAGGGAGAAAGTGTGGGCTGATTTTGAGAACTATAGGAGGTGCTAATTTCTAATCAAATTTTATTATACTCCTTATTTTTAATAGTATTAATAAACCTCTACCATAATTAATTGAAGAATATGAGCGTATAAAATACTGCAGCAACTCTGAGCACTCCAATAAACTATTAATTTTCTAAAACTCATTGTTCTTATTTCTCATTTCATCTCTAAAGAATTTTTCATTAAGTCTTTTACTTTTACCAACCATCCAAATTAAGCCAGAAAAGTAAGGAAGTTTCTTTTCAAAAGAGTGACTAGGATAGACCATTCATAAACATAATTGCTTCAAGTATTTTCCTCATTGAAATCCTACTAGCTTGCCGTTCCGAGAAGGTTACTTGTGACTAAACAATGAAGGAAATCGGATCCTTATCTCCAATTTTTATTTTATGCACATTCAAAAGGAAACTTAATGGCTTTGGGCTAATAAAATTATGATGCTCCCACTCTTGAAGGTGAGATACAGAACTCCCCCAGGTCTCTCAGTGTATGAAGCTTAATGTAGTTGCCTGTCTCAAAGATCAGGAAGAGATATTTCCAAACTCTTTCTCTAACATGAAGGAATAGAATTGGACCATTCAAAAATTTTATGCATAAAATTTATAAATAATTCTTAATCTGTTAGAAAGATGAACCTTTTCAGAAATTTATGGATAATCTTCCTCAGAGTAGTATCAGTGTTCATATAAAGCTCAAAAGCGTAAACAGAGGTGTTGACACCAAGGAGGAAATAAAAACTCTTCTTTTCTCTTTGCATCCTTATACAATCGATATACTAAGTTCTCATCGTCTTTAGATTAACTCAATTCTTTCACATACATTAAGAGGTCCTATCTGAATTAAACCTATAGTAAATAAGATAAAATTTGATTTACAAGTTCATGCCTTTAGATGTTTGGTCAGTATAACTTGACTAAAACCTCAAGCGTATTTCTTAGCGAGAGCCACTTTGGCTTACTACCACTAGTTCATCGACTAGGCTACTGTTGAACAGCAAGAAAATGAAGGTGAGTCTTATCAAAGACTCATTACCGCAGGCCTATTATTAAGCCTTTAAAAGCTGTAGGACTTCTATCTCATAAGTTTTCGTCTTCTTTTCCTTCAAGAATTCTGAGAAACGAGTGAATACTAAAAAGAAAACTTACGATATCATTTATACTAAAAGAGCCTAATGCTGTAGCATAAGATTCCTAAAATTAAGGGAACTTGAGCTACATCTTATTATTAATATCCATTTTAGGTGAACAATACTTCTAAAATTATCTAAAAATTAGGCTTATTTAGAGTCTAATAATTTTAGAATTTAGTGCTGATTTAAGCAGAATTTCCTAATCCTCTTCATCTAATGCTCCACAGTCAAAGTTTTGAGCCCTTAGTGGTTCAAAAGAATAGAAAGACTGGTGATCTCACGGAACTTTTTAGCCTATGTACAATTCTGAAGAACTTAATTTGAATACCTACGATAAGAGAGAAAAAAGTTTGAAATCATACATCGAATGGAGGTTATAAATGTCAATATTCTCCTCTGCGTCTTTAAAGATGATATAGCTGAGGATTCCTTTCTCAAAATTGTTGCGTATTTTACCCTTCATTGTTATTAATATGCAAAGTTAGGTTTCAATCAAGATTTACATTTTAGGGGTTTTGGGGTTTTGGGGTTTTGGGG